TGTATCTCCCTATAGGAAAATTCTAAAAATATTTATATAAGAAAACATTATTCCACCAGGCATTTATTACAGTGAAAAATATATTATGCTACGATATTCCAAGAAAGAAAATATGAAGTTATTTAAAAGGATTTTTTTAAATGCTCACTTGGAATATGCTTTCAGAATAATATAAACATGACATGAAACTAATAAAATTTCATTTCAGTTATATAAAAAAGTTAACTAAAGTACACTAAAATATTAATGGAAGGATTGTGGTAATTGTTTCCTTCTTAATTTTCTTCTGTATTTTTTAGTTATTCATAAATACCTTTTATACTCAGAAAAAAAAAAGTGGTTTCCAGAAGAGGACAATCAATCTATACCTATAACAGGCTCCTTATTGTCACTGTCAGAGATGGATTACTGGTCTGATCAACCAACTGAGCCAATCTGACTGGGGTTATAGATTATAGGTAAGAAAGTCTTTGGCCAAGAGGAAATTGGTCATTGGGCTTTGTAATTTATACTCTACCTCTTCTGCAGAATGCAGCAGCCATGAAAGAGATTTGAGTTGTCAAGGAGTAATGGTGTAATTAGCAACTCTGCTTTATTTCTGTGAGTGCTTTGGTTATTTTTTTCTTTTAACAAAATCTATTCATGTTTTCATTTACTCATGCATTAAGTATTTAGTAAGAACCTGCTTTGTGCCAGGCATCATGCTAAGCTTTGTTTAAGGAAGTTAAAGAAGAAGGGTGCCTGCCCTTTAGGGAGCTCTGTAATGGGAGAGGCAGAGTGCTAATAGCTATTAAGTCATGTAATAAAAGCTGGGGTGAAGGAAAGCTAGGGATGAATGCTGGCTATGACCCCAAGAGCTTTCCAGAAGTCACTTGTGGATAAGGATTTTTATTTAGCAATTTAACTTGTAGATACAGTATAATGGTATGATTGTCTTCCTCACACAATTTAAATTAGATTTATTATTCCACCCTTAATTTCAGCCTTTTATAATATCTTTATGTAATTTTTTGGAATAGTTAACTGGTGGATCAAGATCTGACTTAGACAGGCAGAGTGGCTCAAGTGGTAGAGTGTTTGCCTAGCTAATCATGAGGCCCTGGTTTCAAACAGACTAGGAGTATGGCTCAAGTGGCAGAACATCTACCTAGCAAGCAAAAGGCCCTGAGTTCAAGCCCCAGTACTGCCCAAACAAAGGTGAGGAGTGGTCACTGTGGACATTATTTCCTCTATGAAGTATGATTATCACCCTTCAACCACCACAACAACCTCCCTTGGGTCCCTTGCCTGCAAGCAGAATTTTCAACTATAATTGCTAGATATAATTATCTCTGTCATAGTTCATAAAGGACAACTTTTCTTTCTCTGGAGCTCAAAATGAATGACCTCACGTGGTAATTCAAAAAAAAATCTTATTAAAGCATTTTTCAGTAGAATATGTAAGTGACAGGTATAGTTTGCATCCTGTGAAAATAAGTTGCAGTTCTGGTAAAGCTTTCTAGAAATATCTTTAACAAAATTTTTACTCAGTATTGTGGTAAAAGAAAAGTACTTTAATCACCATTCTCCCTTCTATCAGATGCAGTATTACTCAAATGCCTTAAATATCATGACTAATTATCCTCTTTCATGTTCAGAAGATCTGACTTGAAACAAAGCAAATAGCCGGAATAACAGAGGTAGAAAAAAACTAGCTAAATAGCAATTTAAAGCATAGAATTAGAACTGGTGCAAGGAATATGATTCGTCCTATAGAATCACAAACAGTTCACTGAGACATCAATTCTGTGGCTCTACCCATTAGAGGTAAAAAAAAAGAGTGATCTTTGCTCACTCCAAGATCAAATGAAGAAATGTTCATTTTAAGTGGTTAACCATAAACAGAGCCAGAAAATTGTTATTTTTACAGAAAATAACTACATTGCATATAGATGATGGAGTCATATAATTTTAAAGAATTAGATATGTCCCAGGATCCTACTAGAACAAGAAGTATTTTGAGAACTAATAGTTTGCAATCCTGAATTTTCTTGTGGTTCTGGGGATTGAGCTCAAGACCGTGCTAGGCAATTACTGTACCACTAAGCCACATTCCCAGCCCCATCCTGGATTTTCTGATGATTCCAGGTCCAGTATCTTACCACAATACTGCACATGTTCCCTGCTGAATACTATGCTAGGTTATATAAGGTGACATTAAGAATAAGACAATTCATGGCCTCTAGGAATTGACAGTTTTGTGGGAAAGAGTTGTGTAGCAATAGCAAGAATATAACAAGGAAAAGTACAGCATTAGAAAATGCCTCACATGTTACCAGAGCACTGTTAAAAGAGTAGATTTGTTCATCCAAAGTCTGGCAGTTAAGGGAATCTTAAAAGTGCAGGCAACATTTGAGCTAGGTCCTGAAGAGTAGAAGAGTTTTTTTCTGCCCAACACTGACAGAGATGATGATTGCAGGTAGGTTGATGAGATATGAGATAACTCCAAGATTCTCACCTGAGTGAGCAGTGTACTGGAAAAGGAGCAAGTATAAGAAATTGAGTGAAGAATGAGATATAATGAATTTAGTTTGGAACTTACTGAATGTTAAGTGTGTGTGAGTATTCCAGATGAAGATGTCCTGTCAACAGTGAATATGTAATACTGGTCTGGAGAATCTGACAGAGGTGGTGAGTGATCTGAATCACTGATGAGTGATGAAACCAGTAGAGGTGGGGTTACCAAGTAGGACATTTGACTCAAGGATATCATGGAGGATAGCACACTGGAAACTTTAGCCATCTGTGGTATAACTAAGGGTACATAATAAGTTAAATGGGTTGATATGAGTTGGCTCCAGACCCAAGTCAGCATTTATAAATTTTCATGTAAAAGTGTAAAGTAAGGTCAAGCATTGGACAATTTAATTTGGGTCCATAAACTATTAAGTTGGAGCTTGGGTATGCTTCTTTTTTCTTATCCCAAATATCCCTTTTTACTCTATGACCCCAGCATGCTAGACCTTGGGAAGCATAATTACTGCATTTGAGCCTATCTTCATCAGTATTTCAGTCCTATTTGGTTCCTTTGTAATTCAAATATAATGTCACATGTGATGGTTCATCTTGGTTGTCAGTTTGACTGGATTGAGAGATGCCTAGGAGATTAGTAAAGCACAGTTCTAGGTGTGTTGAGAAGGTATTTCCAGAAGATTAACATGTGGGAGAACAACAGAATGAAGGACTGACCCACCCTGAAGGTTGGCAGCACCACCCAAAAGGCTGGGAGCCCAAATGGAATAAAAGTGGTGAAAGAGAAGTCCAGCCAGTGAGTACAAGCTCCAGTCTTCCCTTTAAGAGAATCTGTCTATTGCAGGTAGACATCAGATTCCAGCTCCTTCAGCTTCTTTTTTTCTCTTTCTTTCTTTCTTTATTCTTTCTTCTTTCCTTTCTTCTTTTTTTTTTTCTTTGACAAATGTGGGGTTTGAACTTAGTGCTTTGCTTACTAGGAAAGCACTTCATCACTTGAGCTGCGCCCCCTAACCCTTTTGGCTTTTAGTTATTTTTCAGGTAGGGTCTTGCATGACCACAATCCTCTACCTCCTTTTCCCACATAACTGGGATTACAAGAATTTCACCACCACACACAGCTTGCTCTTTGAGATAGGGTGTTACTAACTTTTTCCTGAGCTGGCCTTGAACCACAATCCTCCTATCTCTTCCTCCCAAGTAACTGGAATTACAGGTGTGGGCTACCAAACCTGACTTCTTCAGTCTCTCATTGTGGACTCACACCAGCAACGCTAAGGAGTTTCCAGGCCTTCCACTTTCCAGTGCAAGCTTCCAGCCTCATTGATTCCTAGTATTCTCAGACTTCTAGCTTCTTTGACTGAGAATCTACTGAGTTCTCTGTCTCTCCAGGATGCAGATGTCCATTCATGGACTCCCCATGATCTATATAGGGATCTCTGAAAATGTCACATATAGGAAAAGGAAAGCCATTAACCAATGCCAAAGGTTAAATAACTTGCACAAAATCTCACAGCTAAGAAGTGGCAAAACTGGCATTAGACTCTGAGTTCAAATTCCTGGTCTTAACTGCAGAGTCAAGCAGCGGGTGGCAGAGGAGGGGTGACTAAGAAAGATTTAAGGGTGGAAGCAAAAACGTAGGTGGAAGTCTGAAATACAGCATGGGTCACAATATACCTTACAAGTTAGCTTCCAAAATTTCCATGGCAGAAAACTCAGTTACCCAAGATTCCCCCACATATTATTTGATTTACTCCTTCCATCCATCAGAACTGTTCTGAAGAGTTTCCCTGGAAAACAAAGCTCCTCACATTGCATTCCTGGCGGCTGCCAAAGAAATAATAAGCCATTGATATATTAGCCCTCCAGCATGTCTAAAATCAGGAAGCTTGGAGAAACTCTCCAGATCCACCAGAACTCAGTGATCCACCTCAATATTGAAACTGTACCAAGGCTACAATTCAGACTGAAACAAATAGAATTTATCCATTTGTTAAGGAGACCCAGACAGACTCAGGCTTTCTGTATTACCCCACATAATCCCATCTCGTCCCCATGGGCTGCTTCCACCTGCCTGCCTGATTTCTTTATCAGAGGCTAAGCAGAAGTCAAGTGGTAGAGGAGGAGTCCTTACAGCGCCGGGGGAGTTTTATGCTGAGTGGGAGTGGGCTGGGTGTGGAGACAGCAGCTCGCGCGCCAAGCACTCTTGGAGGAACTAGGCTTGTCAGAGCCAGAGCGCCTCACCCGCCGCAAGAGCCCAATAGGCAGAGGCGCTCGCTAACAGCCTGGTGGAAACAGACATAAAAAGTGCTGAAACGAGTGTGCCTGCGAACCGAGGGCTGGAGCTGGCTGAACACCGCTGCGAGGCGGCGCTAGGCGCGGGGCGGTCCCTCCGCGCCCAAGCGGGCGCGCTTTGCTCCCCACAGCGGGCACCGAGTCTGGAGGGGATGTCCGGGCCTCGAGTTCCCAGGGAAGGAGTAGTTCCGGAAAAAATGATCCCTCTCTTCTTGCTGCTCTTCCTCCTCCCCTTGGTGAGAACCACCGAGCGACCTGAGGGCTGGGGTGACGAGCAGAGCTTGGATGTGGCCCTGACCATGCCCAATGTCTCGCACTTCGCCTGGAATAACTACACCTTCTCCGACTGGCAGAACTTTGTGGGCAGGAGGCGCTATGGGGCCGAGTCTCAGAACCCCACGGTGAAAGCTCTGCTTGTCGTAGCTTACTCCTTCATCATCATCTTCTCGCTCTTTGGCAATGTCCTGGTTTGTCATGTCATCTTCAAGAACCAGCGGATGCACTCAGCCACCAGCCTCTTCATTGTTAATCTGGCTGTCGCAGACATAATGATCACACTGCTCAACACCCCTTTCACTTTGGTAAGGATCCTGGCCAGGCTGACTCCCTGTGCCTTTCTCATCTCTCATCTCTCATCTCTCATCTCTGCTTATTTCATCCCTTAGTCCTCTCTCCTTCTATCAATCACTGTCTGGCTCTCCCTGTCTTCCCATCTTCCCCACTCCTGCTCTTCCTCCTCATTTCAGTCACCTCTGCCTCTGTCTTCCTGTCTTAATCTTTTAGTCTGTTTTCTCTTGTCACTCATCTAAGATGTCTCAACCCTCTCTCCTCTCTGATTTTCAGTCTTTCTATGGTCTCTGCCTCTTTCAAGTCCTCTCTCATGTCCTCTCTCTCTCTCTCTCTCTGCCCCTCCCCCATCTTTCTTTTCTTCTTGTCAGTGTCTCTGTGGTTTTATTTTTGTCTCTCCTCTTCTTCCCTCTCATTCTTTCACTCCATCTCTCTTTCTCTCACATTTTCTTCCTCATCCCCTCCCTCCCTTCTATCTATTCCATTATTTTCTACAGTTGGTGGCATTGGGTCAATGATTTGAGTGTCTCCAGCTTTCTGTAAATGATTGACCATTTTCCATTTAAACTCATTATATCGGGCATTTTTTATTATCAAGCAATAAATCAACCCGTTGAAATGTTGGCAGACATTGTTAGGTCACCTCCCCCTTAGGATGCTGTTTTGTGCTACAAATGAAATAAACAATCACTATTTGTCAATGGAGCCTTAAGTACATTTTCCTAGTCTAGTTATTTGAATTGCATTCCTTTTTGTGACTTGACAATAAGGTTATGTACAAAGTCTCTGTTGGGGAAGAAATGAGGATAAGGTAGATTTGGGCCCCAGAGCTGGACAGGCCTGGGGCATTTGCACATGGGCAGTTTTTTTCCCCCAAACCCTGGCTGCTCAGTATTGGTGGTGCCATTTCTGTCCCTCTGTTATCTAGGAGTCTGGTTCTCATGGATGGTTCAGAAGGTTCAGAACTGTAAGGGCTGCGACTTAGCAATCATAATGACAGTTGTACAGCAGTTTTCTATAGCATGAATTATATTTGTCTCAATTTATAGAGTAACTATTGTTATTTAAGTTATTACCAAAGCAGAATTTGTTCATGTGTTCACTGTTCATCCTTCTCTGTTCTCATTCTCTGTCTCTCTCTCTCTCTTTTCTCTCAGCACACATACACACATACATACACACAAACAGAAATGAGAAACAACTAAAAGAGGATGAAACCCTGCAAGTCCATTCATCTGTGTGTATAATCTTCAAAATCTATCATCTTCAAAGCACTTGTACACTCTCTTGTTCTTTCTTATGAGAACATCACTGACATTTTGTAGATTAGGAAGCTAAGGCACAGAGAAGTTCAACCCTGTCCAAGGCTACCTGGAAGAGGCATGATAAAAGTTACCCTAACTCAAGTCCTGTAGTCTGTCCATTAAGCCACCTGTGGGAATAGGGGACACTCTTAAACCATGTTCCCCTCCCACTGCTTCAAACCATGAACTTGTCCTATTCTCCTTCCATCCTACATCTAACCTAGGATCCAGGATCCTCTGGGCACTAATCAAGGATGCAGTGGTTTCCAAATAACACCCCCTCTGCTTCCTTGATGTAAAACAAAGCACTCTGACTCTCTTTGACTTCTTGGTTTCTGAGCTAAGAATGGAAAATGCTGGGATGGAGCTGAACCACCTAGGATGGGATTTCTGGGTTTTTTTTTTTTTTTGGTGGTACTGGGGTTTGAACTCAGGACCTTGCCCTTGCTAGGCAGGCACTCTACCACTTTTGCCATGACCCCCAGCCCCACCTAGGATGAGAGTTGGGAGACCCCAGGGCATGCCCTTGGTGCTGCTCCCCAGAGTCAGTTTGCAGACATGAGTGGATGAGGAAGCCATGGACCCAAGGCCAGCAACTACTGAGAACCTCAGAGGATCCCCTTTAAGAGAGGATGTCAAGGTCCAAAAGATCCAGCACTCCCTTCAGAAATAACTTGGCCTTGAACCTGACCAATGGATTCCCCCAATCCACACCTTTATTAGAGCTTCCAAAGTGCTGGCAACCAGTGACAGCAACTTTGTGGGAAGGGTCTTCTAACTTCTTAGCCTGCACAGCATAGGGAGTTAGGTCATCCTGCCCTCAGCTGATTAGTGACAATATCCTTCCACTATGACCTCCCTTCCCATCCACTTCATGCTCTATAGTCAGCATAAAGCCCAGCTCTGACCTAGGCAAAGCAAATAATTGTTTATGCTTCCTATAGTAGAGACATACACAGCATGTAGAGGAGGAGAGTCATTCTGACCTGCTGGAGTCCTCAAAGAAAACTTTGCAAAGGACATGACATTTTAATGTGACCTAGATGAGTAGGAATCTCTGAGGTCAAGATGAATGCTCAGTGCTGACCGAAGGACCAGAGAGAACAAAGACAAGGAAGCATCAAAGTTCACTGTGTGTCAAGGGAACATTGAGGGACTCAGTGTAGCCAGAGCAGCAGATTCAAAAGGCACAGCAGAAGGGTGGGAGTAGAGGGTAGAAAGACCAAGGTAGGCCAGAAAGGGAATCTGGGGACAGGTTTGATGGACTTGGATACTAATAGGCATCTGACTGTGTCCAAAGTGCCATGATGATTCTTAGCAGGCAATGGTCTGGTTTTTGGTTAAGAAACATATTGGCAGAAGTGTGCAGGCTAAATTATAAGAGGTCAAGCCTGGAGAACAGAAAAAGCTTTGAAGAGGCTGTAACAGGGCCACGGCCTTGGGATTGAATAAGGGAGCAGATTTGAAAACCGTTTAGAGGCTTGTATTTATCACTTACTGAGTACAAGGGTGATAAGCAGGAGTAGCTGAAGATTTCTAGATCTGTAATGTTAGACTGCTCAAATGGCTTTTTCCCTTCTGCATGGAAGAGTAATGCCTATGGCCCGCTGTCCTTTTGTCATGATTTGGCCAGTCTTGTCCCAACTCTCCTGTATGTATGTCAGCCAAATCAACTCATCCTCATTCCCCAAACCAGCTTTGGGATTTCTGGTTGAGTGTGAATGTCTTTTGTTCTGATATCTGTATGTGCAAGTCCTTCCTCATCTCATATGTCTCCTATGTTGTCATAATGGCAAATTATAGGTTCACATACTTGCTATGTATGAAGCAAGGTTTATCTATTCTACATGTGTTGTCTATCTTCTTTGACTTTCATAATAACCATGGGGAAACAGTTAAGCCATTTTACAGATGAGGAAAGTGAGGCTCAGAGGACCCAAGTGCCTTGCCCAAAGTGACAGCAGAAGGTGGCAAAAACTCTGCTATAAATCTCTTAGTACAGAGAGTACTCTTTCTGTTGGGCTAAATCCCTCTGTTTCTGTCTCTATAACTACTCTCTTTCTTTGCCCACCTGGTGGCTCCATTGCCCTCCCATTTGTCTCTATAAAACATTGCTACTTTCTATCTTGCATTCAAGTTATTTGAGCTCTTCTCTGACCAGATTGGAAGCTCCATGGTCAGAATCAATGTTCAGTCTCTCCTGGACATGAAATATTACTCACAGTAGCTGCTCAAGCACTAATTGAGTGATCAAACAGCCCTAAATGAAGTAGAAGTAGGCCTACTCCTGAGGTTTCATCTTTCCCCACCCCAAACCATACCTCTTCAATCCCTCCTTCCCATAATGAGTTGAATTGTAAGACCAGCTTAGGCAAAATTTCTAGCACTGGGGGCTATGAATACATCTTAATGGTACAGTGCTTCCTATCATACACAAGGCCCTGGATTTGATACCCAGCACCACACACACACAATAACCTGTATTGTGACTATTCAGATGTGTTTTCCTACTACACCAAATTCTGTTGGGCTAAGAATGAATTTTATTAGTACATATAAATATACCTACTACTTATTTTTTAATAATAGCTTTCTAGAAATTTGCCATTTTATTCTACCCTTTATAGACTTTATACTAAGCCTATAAAGGTAAGATTTTGAAGCCATTTTGCAAATGAGGAAGCTGAGGTTCAGAGAGGTTACATACATTGCCAAGGTTGCACAAAAATAAATTACTAGAGGTGGGAAGTCTAACTCCAAAATCCATGTCCTTCTCAAGCTCTTCTGACACCTAATATCCTAGAAACACTATCAGAGTTCAATAATTGAATGAGAATGAGCTGTGCTGCAGAAGATCAAATGTGGCCCATGAGTTGACATCATAGATGGAAATAAGGGAGGACCTGGTAGAACTGAGAAACCCTCCATGTTCTGCTCCTCAGAGACCACTGAGCAGTGGGGGTGGGGGTCACAGTCAAGGTCCTGACCTCTATTTGTTTGTTTCCAGGTCCGCTTTGTGAATAGTACATGGGTGTTTGGGAAGGGCATGTGTCATGTCAGCCGCTTTGCCCAGTACTGCTCCCTGCATGTCTCAGCATTGACACTGACAGCCATTGCTGTGGACCGCCACCAGGTGAGGTTACCTACCCCCAACATTCTGTCCTTCCCTCTATGGCTTTGCCTTTCTAGAGTCCTTGGGAAAATTCTTAAGACAGTGTTTGAGCCCAGTGTCCAATGAATGTTGTCTTCCTATGTTCACAGAAATTAGAGGTATTAAACCCTTTGTCCTAAAGTTATTACTGTTGCAAAAAGTTATTCCTGATTTTTTTTCCAATTAAGACTCACCACTGGCATTTTCTGTCTCAGAAATTTATGAACTTGCTTTGGGGCATAGAACAGCAAACAGGGAAAAATCACAGATGAAAAAAAAATCTGCAAATAATTGCAGGTCAGAAATAAGGCTCTAGAATAGGACATGGACCTTCACTGACCCAGACTGTTGAGGAGGAAAACAAGCCAAGATGTCCAGATGGCAAGAGTGTCAGAGTGGTACATGGTACCACCTAGGGTGAACACATGGGTGATGCCCCCATCAGAAGCACATGGGTAGATGTGGAGGCAGGAATCCAAAGAGGACCCTAACATGTCCTTTCTGGAAGGGAATGGCTCTAGGCCATGTGTCTCACACATGCTAACTCAATAGGCATGTGTTGTCTGCTGAGACTATGCTGAATCAAGGAACAGGGGCTTGGAGAAGTCCATACGTAGCTTTCCCAAGATGATGATATGAATTGTGAAGCTAGAAGGAGAACTGAGTTCTGACTGGCTCCAAACTCAAGTTCTGATCACTAAGGCACCTGCTCTGAAAAGATTCAAAGGGTCCTACCAGGCCAGTATTGTTAAGGCTAGTAGGACAAAGAGAGATGGGTTTTATCCTAAGAATTGGCAAGAGGTACAATAAGGACCAAAGGATAAGGGGCATCGAAGAAGCAGATTCAATGTGAGGAATGAATTTCTAATGAAAATGTCCAAAGATAAACAAAGCTGCCTAGGAGGTAATGAATTTCATGCCACCAGATACAGCTAAGCAAAGTGTTGTTGACAACTTGATAGGGACATTTTTAAAAGATTTATACATCTGGCAAGGAATTGGACTGGCCAAACTCTGAAATCTGTTTGTCTCTGTAATACCATAATTTTGTAAAAGTGAACTCTTGCAGGAATGTTTGGGTTAAGTGTGAAAAGTTTGCATACAACTATTTCCTTCCTTTTCTTAATCTCCCCTAATTCAGTAAGAGTTGTGGGTTACCTTTACTTGGCCCATGTTTAACCCATTTAACACTGCGAATTGGTAGTTGACCCATGGGCTGAGAGTGGGTCTGAGGAAAAAGAGGTTAAGTCTTTGCCCATGGTGACCACATTGCTATGACATATGCTTAAATCTGGAGGACCCACCCAAAGCCAACAGAATCCCTGGGTAGTATTTAGGGCCTCTGCCTAGGCTACCACTCCCTTCAGCAACCTAAACATAAGGGTACAAGGGACAGAAAAGCTTCTGAAGCTTATCACACCCTCTCATAAAACCTTGAAATAATTGGGAGAAAACAACACACCTGAGGACACAGCCAGAATGCCCTATATGTTCTGGGATGGTATCCTGAGATAGCAACAGCTGGACTCATCCTCAAGTACCTTTTTTCAAGAGATAATGATTCTCATCTTAAAATGAGGGTGTTTTTAAATGTCCAAGTCTTTATTTAAAACTTTTAGAAGAATTGATTGCCATACAGTAGCAGTTCCAAGATAAATATGAGTGAGAAGTCTATCACACTGGCTTTGTTATACGCTCATGAAAGCTGGATGATCCATTGCAATTTTAGTAACAGCTTTCATAAATAGTGTTGTGAGCCCCCAATAGTGTCAACACAGCTTTCATGATAAGCAATGAGAGTTTGCTCAGCCTCAGACCATCACCTAACTCTTCACAACTTAAGGGCGCTAGAATTGTAGAAAGTCAGATTTTGAGGAAGTAGGAATCAAGGATGGGTTTGTCCCTCTGCCAGCTTTGCTGTGGGAGCTACCTTCCCTGGTAGGCTCGCTGTAGCAAGAGATATTTGAACTGCCAAGGGTCCTGAGATTCCAGATGAATTCTCTTCCCACTCCCTGCAAGTGGGCTGTGAATAGAGCATGGCTTCTCCCTGCCCCGCCCCCATCCCCAGCTGCCTACTGTGATTCAGGAGCTCAACAATGAATGAGAATATGAGCTGTATTATTTGGAATCTCATTTGCTTCAAAGTTTTTCAGCTAGTGTTATACCCTTTGCTTGTTTTCCAGGTCATTATGCATCCATTAAAACCCCGGATCTCCATCACAAAAGGTGTCATCTACATTGCTGTGATCTGGATTATGGCTACATTTTTTTCACTCCCACATGCTATCTGCCAAAAATTGTTTACCTTCAAGTACAGGTGAGATGCATTAGTAGGAGCAGCCTAGGGTTCAAGGAGTTTGCCCCATCCCTGCCTTCTCCCAAATAGACTGGGAACACAGCAAAGGGGAATTGGAGCCCTGTCTGGTTCCACAACACTCAAGGTTAGAAGAAACTACCTGCCTCACTGAACCATTCTCCTTGCCTCTATTCCATCCTGTTGTCCCCTGATCCACATGTATTCTCTGAATTCCTCCCCTCTCCCCATTTTGTTTCTCAACAACTTTAGCTTCCTTCTTTTTTTACAGTTTGTCTGCAAGGACGTGGTACTAGTTTCCAGCTTCTGCCACCAAGGGGCATATGTTCACACAGACTGAGATGGGAATCCATACCTCCTTGTTTAAAATGAGCCAGGTTCAAATTCTTACACAACTTAGAGACAAAACATACATGCCTGTATGCGTCTGGGGTAGAATGGGATTCTCTACCTCCCCCACCTACATTCTGGTTTTTTTGTCATATGTTCTCACCAAATGAGAATTTCTTTTTTTTTTAACCAATCAGATTTAAAAAATGTTAAACTAGTTTATTAAAACTGATCTTCCTACTAGCTATAAGTTTAGGAAGAGCTGGTTTGTTTCTGATTTGATACCTTGGTGATCCTACTCCCTAGCTTACTATCTCTAAGTTACAAGTCCTCCACCATATTCACTGAATAAATGAATAAATGAGCTTAGAGTGATGTTCAACATTTTGCAGAAACAGGTCCTGAGATGAAAGAAAGTACACATGTAAGTGGTTTAGTAAGTCAGCACTCCTAGGAATGATGAGTGAGGGACTGGAGAGACAGGATGGAGATGGGGAGAGACCAAGCAGGGTACGATTTTAGGGAAAAAAACTTATGTGCCATGGGGACTCTGGAGCAATCTGGTCACCAGAGTTTGCCCCCCTGGGCCCAGAGAGCCAGGCTTTCACATTCCTCCTTCAGTTATTGGTTCTAGGCTTCCTGGGGAAAATAGAAACTCCCAACCATTTCTGTTCTTGATGACTCTGCCTGAACAGGTGCCATTGTCCCTAGGGTACTCCTAGGCACAAGGTGCCAGCTGTTTCTTGCTTAGCAGGCAGGAGCTGGGACCTGGTATTCTGCCTCATAAAGAGGGACCTGGGGATCGAGGTGGTGCAGTAGCAGTATCTGCTGCCATCACCATCTGCTGTGCCCCAAAAGACATACTTGCATTCACTCTTGTGACAGAAGCAGGCCCCAAAGGCTAATTTCTACTGATTTTAAAAGGCTCCTCCACAGATTCCATCTGCCTTCACATCGTGTAAGGACCAATTTATTTTCTAACAGATGCAAAGGAAGTTTTCTCTTTCTTTTGTCCATGATGGCCAGCAGCACTTATACCAAGAACAAGCCATATGGACATACCTGAAAAAAGGTGAAAAGAACCAGGGACATTCTATATGAGTGCTAAAGTTATGTTCACTAATGCAGGCTTTATGTAAAAATCATTTCTTAGTTCCTCTTTGCAATGAGACCTTAGAACAATGAAAAATTCCAAGATTTCCTCAAAAAAGAGCTAGTTTTCAGAGCAGGAACACTACTGTTTCTTTTTTTTTTTTTTTTTTTTTGCGTGGTACTGGAGTTTGAGCTCAGGGCCTCATGCTTGCTAGGCAGGCACTCTACCATCTGAGCCACTCTACCAGCCCACTACCATTTCATTTACTCATTCATTCAAGAATCTACTGGGTCTCTACTATGGGCTATGAACAAAATGAGGTTAAGAGGACATGCAGAGGTTTAGGTGTCTTTCTTAGCAGAACTCCCAGCCTCATGGAAAAAGGTGATCAGATAATTAGACTACAGTGTCAAAAGTGCTGTATCAGACAGATAGGCCTAGAGCCCAGGGGAGGGAGGGTCCAAAACTCTTGGGATGAAACCTTTCCACACTCGTATTTCCTCCTTTCCCTCCTCTTTCTCTCTCCCTCTTTCCTGCCCCCAGTGAGAACATTGTGCGTTCTTTATGCCTGCCAGACTTCCCTGAGCCAGCTGACCTCTTTTGGAAGTACCTGGACCTGGCCACCTTCATCCTGCTTTATATCCTCCCCCTCTTCATCATTTCTGTGGCCTATACCCGTGTGGCCAAGAAGCTGTGGTTATGCAACACAATTGGTGATGTGACCACAGAGCAGTACCTTGCCCTAAGACGCAAGAAGAAGAAGACCATCAAGATGCTGATGCTTGTGGTGGTTCTCTTTGCCCTCTGCTGGTTCCCCCTCAACTGCTATGTCCTCCTTCTGTCCAGCAAGGTCATTCACACTAATAATGCTGTCTACTTTGTCTTCCACTGGTTTGCCATGAGTAGCACCTGCTACAACCCCTTCATTTATTGCTGGCTAAATGAGAACTTCAGGGTTGAACTAAAGGCATTACTGAACATGTGCCAAAGGCTGCCCAAGCGTCAGGAAGAGAGGCTGCCCTCCCCAGTCCTTTCCCTCAGGGTGGCTTGGACAGAGAAGAGCAATGGTCGGAGAACTCTGCTAGCCAATAACCTCTTGCCCTCCTCCCAGCTCCAGTCTGGGAAGACAGACTTGTCATCTGTGGAACCATTATGGCAATGAATTAGGGGAGGTTGGGAAGAGGCAAAGGGACAGATCTTTCCTCACACACAATCTGATCTTCACAGTGCTGGAAATTAGTTCCTGCAAAAGCAGTAGGACTGTTGAGTTCCTAAGAAACTTCCAACTTCCTAGCCCCATTTTACGTGCAAACCAGAAGACAACCCTACCAATGAGGCATCTGTTTATAAATTCCCACATAGAAAATTCTGTGAGGTATATCACCCTGAATCCCCAGCAAAAGAATTAAAGACAACCTCAGCTCTAAAGGTGGCTAAATCAGTCAACTGCCTATAACTGTTAAACAGCTGTCCTTCCTATTAACTCACACTAGACCTGAGTCATACTTTGGGTATGGCTGACCCAGATGCACAAGGTCCTGCTGGAAGTAGGTTCACTAGTCAGTGAAATGTCAACATATCAGAACAGACTCTGAGTTTTCATGCCTCACCTTCTGAAGTCATTGGACCAAGATGAATAAGTCTTCAGTGGCCTGGCCCTGTACATGACAAGAAAGAACCAATTAAGGTTCCTTAAAACAAAAAGCAATTATCATTACCACCTCAAAAAAATTTAGAAAAGCACAAAGAAAGAAAATTTAAATTACTCCCATCAATTTGTGATAGCTTCTGTTAACATGCTGTGCATTTATTTGCAACTTTTTCCTTTGTGTGTTTAATGTATGTGTGTTTTTAAAATTCTGAACCATACTTTTTCATTTAGATTATAATGATTGGCAAGAAAGGGGTATATCAGTGTACTTCTCAGCCCCTCTTCAAAGAATAGTGCCCACCAAAAACTGAAAAAGAGGCTAGAAAGGAGCTCACAGTGAAGATTATCACCAAGCTGACAGGACTGCTCTATCTTGTAGTCAGTGGTAGGCAGGGCCTTGCTCAGGTCCCTTTCTTTGGATGGCAGCCATCATAATGAGCCAGAGGACAAGACAGCCAGGAGGTATATTTCCTTCTTTCATGCAGTCACACAGAAACAAGAGGGAATGAGCCATTGTTCTGCTTTCACAGGAAATGAGAGAGCTTACTTTCCAACATGTTGGAAATAATTGTGCTTAGACATCTCATCCACCCAAGCTCTCTAGACAGGCCATTTCTCTGTGTTGTCTGTATAATGAAATTTTTTCACGCCAATTCCTGAAGGAAGATTCACTGTCAGCATCACCTTTACAATTCACATATCAATTCCAGAAACTTATAGGATCATCAGAGAAACCTTATTCCTTAAGAGCCCACTTGCCAGAGAAATCTCATGCCAGAGATTGAACATTTTCATCATCTTCCATCTGGTCCTTACTAATTCACAGTGTCACCCAGTGTCATGCTGGATGTAGGTCTCCTTCTAGCCCCAGAAAGGTCCTGGAAGCAACCCATACATATGGAGCTAAGTGGGAAACTGAGGTTTGGGGGAGAAGGGACTTGTCTAAGTTCACTTAGATTGCTTGGCTGTAAATTGAAACAGAACTTGGTTGCATCATCTGCTTCCCATTAATAGTCTGTGGAAGTTATTTATACTGATCTATTTATAAGGATGTGGGAAAAATTTCAAGATACAAAATTTAAAAAAATTATTTACTAAACAGCAAATTTTAAAAAATACTTTTATGTCAGATGCAGTGACTCATTCTTATTATCCCAGCTATTCAACAGACAGAGACTGGGAGGACTGCAGTTTGAGACCAGTCCCGGCAAAAAGCTCACAAGACCCCCATCTCAACTAATAGCAGGATTTAGTAGTACATGCCTATCACCCCAGCTATGCAGAAGGTATAAATAGGAGGATTATGGTGTAGGGTGCCCAGGCATAAATCCTAAAAATAACTAAAGCAAAAAGGGCTGAAAGCATGCCTAGCAAGTGTGAAGCCCTGAGTTCAAACCCTAGTACCAAGAAAAGAAAAAGACTTTCATGGGGGCAGAAAAGTTCTAAGTCCAAAGGAATCTCCTAATGAATTTTTTAGCCTAAATGGCTCATGTGTCTGCTCTTATCATCTTTGTAATGTGAAGAAGTAGCTATTAGTTTTATCTTAATGCTGCCATAGCAATTGTATGAACCAGAGGACAGGCAGCAAGAATACAGAAAGTGTGACCTTCCCTGGGACTTATGGAGAAATCTTATTCACACCTGTCTGAGGTGTTTAGAAATACTGCTGAGTCACAGAGAAAACCCTTAGGTCTAGGTCTGCTGTTATCACCTTTATGTCCCTTCCTCTGGGTCTCCTCTGTGCCTCAGAGCAAAATGTGACTTGTAATTGTGAAATTTGTAAAACTTGAGTTTTTTCATCATGCTGTGAAGAGTGCTTTATTGTACATTGATCTAGTCTCAATAAAGTTTGTGTGTGTGTGTGTTTGGACTTGCCTGATGGACTGATGACTATATCACAGTTGGTAACCTTTAAAATGAGGACTGACATAGAATACATGAAGAAAGCATGGAGATTATCTACCTAAAGCCCAGAATTTCAGCTGGGGAAATTCAAGCACTGAGAGGGTAACAACCAGTTGAGAACAGCCTCTGACTCCTTGTTCACAGCTGCTTCCACTGAGTTAGCTGCCAAGTCCTCTCTTTGATTCTGATGCATCTACACTATATGACTGAACCCTGAGCTCCATCTGTCCCTTGGTGATTCAGGAGAAGGCGAAGCTGCCACTGATCCTTGAGAGCCAGTCTCCCACTTTCAGTGTGGCAGGTGCTGCCTTCCCTGTGTTGAGTGTGATTTCTGCCACACCCTGCCAGGAAAGCTGGGCCTCCACCACATACATAATTACCCTGATTCCATCCAGAGCATCTTTTAATATTAGTTTTAAACAATTTCACACACAGTGGTAAGTAGGGGTGATCAGTTGAACTTATGAGAAAAAAATATGGGAGGCGCTGCTGGGGTTTGAACCCAGGTTTTGTGCATGCAAGGCAGGTGTTCTACCACTTGAGCTATGCCTCCAGCTCATAGAAGAAAATTTGAAACAAAAATGAAAAGCATAGGAGAAAGAAAAGAGAACTAAGATTCATGGACATGTTCTATGTTCAGTACTTACTCAGCCTCACAGCAATCCTCCAGATTGGCATTATTGTTTTTATATTGTGGATGAGGAAGCCGAGGCTTTTTAGATAACTTGCTAAAGACCACACATCAAAAAAGTGACCCTCTTGGACATTAAGTTCTGTGAACATGTGTAGAAAAGAATCTTGCTTTTTTAAAAAATCCGAGTTCTGCAAATTTTCTTAATTGAAAGATACTTTTTTAGGTTAAATCTACTAACCATCCTAAAAACTAGTGCTTGAGTTACATGTTTTGGGAAACGTTTGAGTATGTGATCTCCAAGGGCTGGTGCTGAGTGGTCAATGAAGCCACAGGCAGGTTGGCATGGCTGCCTTGTGAGCTCTGTCCTAGTTCTAATTGTACCAAACAAGCTCAGAAGTGATTCCCACATTATCGGTGCCTGTTAGACCCTGGCAGGTTGCCAGGGCACCACTAGCACAGTCAGAATTCAGCTCCCAAGCTTGTTGTGACATGCCACTAGGACCTCTCTGGCGATGGGCACCCTTCCAGGATGTCTGAGGCCAGGGAGGAATCTAAGAACACTGGGGATCTTGGAGCATCCACTGGGAGAGCATGCCTGTCATAGCGTGTGGCCTGAAGACAGCAGACTCACACTGCCAGCCTCCTAGTACTGTGGCTCCATAGCATCTTCCTTCAGCATCTCTGAACATCCATTTTATGCCAATTCTCTTTCATTTCAATGAGTTGTTAGGGAAATGGAAAATAAGAAATACATATTTTGCTGGGTACATTTTGAAAAAGCAAAAAAATAGTGATATTTAATGAGAAAACCCTGTGTTCCTTCCTGATGCATTATAGCCTTTCTTGCAGAAAATAATCTATTTGCTGCCTCGTGGGAGCAAAGTATATGATTTTGACAGCTCCTCCTCTACTCTTATTTCTAGTTCAGCAGGGTCCCTGTTTTCAGACTTATTATAAGTTTATTATGTTCAGTTTAAACATGAAGTCAAAGGAATCATGAAGACAAGATTCAGGATATTGACTATAGCAGATAGGGAAGAAGGAGTACAGGTTGGTGCAAGGGTAGAATAGGAGCCACGGAGTTGGAAATAGATAATCATCCAGATTTGAGCATTTGTTTTGGACAGTGGGCTCATGGGTTCTTATTATATTACATATTTAAAATAATCAGATAACTAACCACATAGCTAAAAACAGGTCATACATGTTAACATAAACTAGTGTGCTAGAAACCAAGGATTATAATTGATCTAGTCCTGTGCCCCTGTGTTCTATAAACCAGCCAACCAATCAGTAAATCAATGAAAATGGAGACCCAGAGGTTCAGGCCTTTGCTTTTCTTCCTTGTACCTTTCCAATCAGGTTATTTCTACATCTGTATCTTTAAAACATACAAATAGAGTTCACTGCTAGGACAACCAGGATATGACAATTATTTTTCCTTTTTATAACTACCTTGTTTTTCTAGAGTTGAAACTTTCCTCTGTTTCTTGGCTTAGTTTTCCATATCACTGTGACTAATTCTTCCACTATTTTCAAAATAGTTAAAATCCCTTTGTGTGACATTAGTGCATGCATCAAGTGTTCTACAGGCCCTCATGTCACGCTCCCTCAGACCTCCTATTTGTCTGGGTGGCTTTGCCATGGGACACTTGCTCTCTACTACTGTAATCACCTGTTCTAGGACTTCCTGATATCCTCTCCAGGATTAGATCTAGCTCAGTTTCCTAGAGTCCTCTATTATTCTTTTTTGGTTTATTCTCCTATTTTGGAAGACAACATTTTCCAGCAGATTCCTGAGAAAATGAACACAGGAACTCATTTCTTTTGACACCTTATCTGTCTGAAAATGTGTTTAACTTAAACTCATGCTTAATCAATAGTATGCCTGAATGTAGAATAATGGGTTGAAAATCATTTTATCTCATAATTTTGAAGGCATTTGTGTAAGTTTTATGTTTCTGTCATAACAAATTACCAGTCTTAATGGCTTAAACAACAAAAATTGCTTA